AAAACCTTAGAGATCCCACCAAAAAACCCTGGAGAACCCACAAAAAACCCCAAAAACAACTTGGAGACTCCAGAAAAAAAAAACAACAACATGGAAACCCCACAAAAAAACTTTGGAGACCCCCAGAAAAACCTTAGAGATCCCACCAAAAAACCCTGGAGAACCCACAAAAAACCCCAAAAACAACTTGGAGACTCCAGAAAAAAAAAAACCATGGAGACCCCACAAAGAAACTTTGGAGAACCCCCCAAAAAAAACCAAAACCAACTTGGAGACTCCAGAAAAAAAAAACAACAACATGGAGACCCCACAAAGAAACTTTGACCAACCCCCCAAAAAATATTGGAAACCTCCCCCAAAAAAGCTTTGGAGACCCCACCAAAACACTTGGAAAACCTGCCTCAAAAACATCTTGGAGACCCCTCCAAAAAAACCCAACAAACCTTGGAAACCCCACAAGCAAATTTAGAAACCTCCCCAAAAAAACCTGGAGACCCCTCAAAAAACCCTTGGACACCCCAAAAAAAAAAAAACCCCTTGGAGACTGCACAAAAACTTTGGAGGCGCCACAAAAGTTTTATGGAGAAACTGAGGCACGGAGTGGCCGCCAGTTGACGTGGGGAAACTGAGGCACGGTGAGTCACCAGCCGGTGCCACCCCAGCCACGCCGCGCTCTCGGTGTCACCTCCCTGTCCCCAACACCCCGAGCCGGCAGGGAATTAATTGGGATTGTTGGAATTCCCCGGTGGGAAGCGGGGCCTAAGCTGATCCGGCCGGATTAAAAATCAAAATAATCGCAATTAAAAAAAATCAAAATAATTAAAAATTGTGATAATTGCCGAGGCCACGTGAGGCAGAGCCACGAGGAGAGCGGCTGGGAAATTTGGGGGGGGGCTTAAAATCGGGAAAATTAATGTGGGGACCCCCCGGGTCACGCAGAGACCCCAAAAAAAACCCCAAAAAACCCAAATCCCCGCGGGAAACGCGAATTCCTGCGGGAAACCCAAAGCGGGCGCCCGTTCCGGCCGTACCGGGGCTCGGTGGGACCCCCGGGAGGGGCGGGGAGGAGTTCTGGGGGTGCCCAAGGGTCCCGGTCCCACCGACCCCAAATCTCCCGGTACCGGGCGGATCCCCCCGTTCCACCCCACCGGGGACCCCCGGGAGCCGCAGCGGGACCGGAGCGCGGTGCTGCCGGTGGCGGCGGGGACTCGGGGGTCCCTGTCCCCGGTGGGGACACGGGAGGAGCCGCGGGGCCCGGCACGGCTCCGGTACCGGGGGGAGCACGGAGGCGATTGCGGTGGTGTCGGGGAGCTCGGTACCGGTGCGGACCCGCTGGGGACCCCGGTACCGCTCTGGAATCCGGTACCGGCAGGGATCTGGGTGCCGGTGGGGACCCCGGTACCGCTCTGGAATCCGGTACCGACCAGGACCCGGGTGCCGGTGGGGACCCCGGTACCGGTACGGACCCGCTGGGGACCCCGGTACCGCTCTGGAATCCGGTACCGACGGGGACCCCGGTACCGGTACGGACCCGCTGGGGACCCCGGTCCCCAGGTTTAGAACCCGGTACCGGCAGGGATCTGGGTGCCGGTGCGGACCCCGGTACCGCTCTGGACCCCGGTACCGGTGCGCTGGAATCCCGTGGCCGCTCCCGGTCCGGCCCGCGGTACCGGAGAGAAGCCCGGCGGGGCCCCCGGTGCCTCGGGGAAGGACGAGCCCCCCCTCGTCCCTCCCCCCCAAAAAAAAATTTGGAGATTTTTTGTGTTGATTACCAAAGATAATTAATTAATGAATTAATTAATGTTTAATTACCGCGATTCCCGGGGAGGGGGGGGGACGGACAAGCGACACGTCCAGGGGGGCGCGAAGGGGGCGGGGCCTCCCCAAAAACCCCAAAGTGAGGGGTGGGGACTGCGGGGTGTCCCCGGCTCCGGTGGCACCGGGATCGGGATGGGCCCAGCCGGGATCGGGAATGCGGGAATGATCCAACTGGGTACCGGGGGGTTCCCGGTGCCGCGGAGCCGCTCACCTGCCGCCGCCTCCGCCGCTTTGTTCACCTTAAAATGGCAGCCGGGAGCGGCGGAGGCGGCGGCGGCGGCGGCGCTGCGGGACCGGCCCCGGGTCCCGCCCCCGGGGAGGGCGCGGGGGCATCCGATGGGGTTTGGGATGGATCCAGCCGGGATCGGGAATGCCGGGGCGGATCCTGGTGGGATCAGGAATGTTGGGATGGATCAAGCTGGGAATGATCCAGCTGGGATTGGGATGGATCCTGTTGGGATTGGGAATTCTGAGATGGATCCAACCAGGATCAGGAATGTCAGGATGGATCCTGGTGGGATTGGGAATGCTGGGAATGGTCCAGCCGGGATTGAGGAGGATCCAGCCAGGATCGGGAATGTCAGGAATGATCCCACTGGGATCGGGATGGATCCGACCAGGATCGGGAATGTCGGGATGGATCCTTCCAGGATGGATTCCACTGGGATCGGGATGGATCCAGCCGGGATCGGGAATGCCGGGAATGATCCCACCGAGATCTGGATGGATCCGACCAGGATTGGGAATGCTGGGATGGATCCTGCTGGGAATGATTCAGCCGGGATCGGGATGAATCCTGTCGGGATGGATTCAGCCGGGATCGGGAATGTCGGGATGGATCCTGCCAGGATCGGGATGGATCGAGCTGGGATTGGGAATGCCGGGAATGATCCCACTGGGATCTGGATGGATCCAGATGGGATCGGGAATGCTGGGATGGATCCTTCCAGGATGGATCCTGCCGGGATTGGCACGGATCCTGTTGGGGCGGATCCAACCGGGATCGGGAATATTGGGAACGATCCAAGCGGGAATGATCCAGCCGGGATCGGGAGTGCCGGGAATGATCCCACTGGGACGGATCCCGCTGGGATCGGGATGGATCCTGCTGGGATGGGGAATGTCGGGAATCCCGCCGGGATCGGGATGGATCCTGCTGGGATGGGGAATGTCGGGAATCCCGCCGGGATCGGGATGGATCACCCGGCCATGGTGCCACTATAGGGGACCTTTTTGGGGACCCTTTTGGGGACACAGTCTCTGGCCGCGGTGCCACTTTTGGGGACCCTTTTGGGGGCCCCTTTGGGGGCGCGGCGCTGTGCCCCGGGCTCCCCCGCGCCCCCGCAGGGCCGGGTGCGCCCCGCGCTGTCCCCAGCTCGTCCTCGAAGGTGACACGCCTGGCACGGGCGGCGCTGAGGTGGCCTCGAGGGGACCTGGCGGCGATGTCACCGCTCCCGGCGACCGCGGCACCCCCGGGGGGCTCCTGGCGCTCCGAGGCCGCCCCTGGAGGGACACAGAAGCCGCGGTGTCACCGTGCCTCAGTTTCCCCCACGGGCCACCCGCGGCTGTCCCTCCACCGTGCCCCTCGGGGTGTCACCTCCAGCGCCACCACCGCGCCCCTGTCCCCCCCGGTTTGGGCTGGGAGGGGCGGGAAACGCCCACTGGTGGCGCTGAGGGTCCCCGCGTCCCCTCCTGTCCCCGTGTCCCCTCCTGCCCCCCACCCCGTGCCAGCCCTTGGGGACAATGGCCGGGGTCCTGTCCCCGCCACCGCCGTTACCTGCCCGTCGCATGGGGAGGGGACACAGGCGACCCCCCGGGCACGGCGCGATGTCCCCTGGCGGCTTCCCAGCGCCACCAGTGCCACCAGCAGTGCCACCAGGCAGCGCCACCCGCAGTGCCACCGGTGCCACCAGCAGTGCCACCGCCGCCAGGCACCGCGCGTTAATCATTGACAGCCCCGCGCCACCCCCATTGTCGCACGGGGCCACCACGGGGCCACCATCCCCTCCCCCGGGAGGGTCCCCAACCCTCCTGGCGCCCCAAAAAGGCTCTGGGGTCCCCCAAAATCTGCCCCAAAAACCCACGCGGGGTTTGGGCATCCCCACAAGGATCACGGGGCGGGGGGAGTCCCTTGGGGGGGGGACACAAAAATCGCCAAAATCCCCTCAAAAACCCCAACATCGCCCCAAAACACCAAAAAGCTCCCAAAACCCCCCCAAAATTCCCCCAAACCCAGCCTAAAATCCCCCAAATCCTCACAAAACAGCCCTGAATTCCCCCAAATCCCCCTAAAACCCCCAAAAACCCCCCCAAACCCCAAAAATCCCCCCAAACCCCAAAAACCTCCCAAAACCCCAAAAACCTCCCAAAATCCAAAAAAATCCCCCCAAAACCCCTAAAACCCCCCAAACCC